CGAGCAGCAGGTGACAGCGTGTGCGCCAGAGCTGGGTCTGTTGGAGAGATCACACCCTGGTCACCCTGGTCACCCTGGTGGGCAGCCCAAGAGAAAGGAGTTGACGATAGGATCACTTTCTGGGCATGCAGTCTGTGCCGGGCGCTGCGCTCAGTCCTGACGTTAAAGTCCACGTGAGGCGGTTTCTGTGGTCACGTGGACCCATTTTACAGATGAGAAGGCTTGGAGACACGGCTGGACCAGGCTGAGCCCACGTGACCGGCCTGGCCAGAGACCAGGCTGCCCTTGCTCTTCCTCCTAGATGCCATCCTGCATCCCAGTGCCAGTGGAGTAGACCCCCTTATCCTCAGGTCCCCACACACCCCGGGGTGCCGGAAACCACAGGTGTCACCAGACCCTGTGTMTGTGCCGTGCATCCCTCCTTGTCCAGGGACCTGCCGTGGACGGTCAAGACCGTCATATAAAATGGCCTGGTGTTTGCACAGAAGCGACGCACACCTTCCCGCAGACTTTAAATCATCTCCTCATTATTCACAACCCGGAATACAACGTCAGTGCCATGTCCGTGGCTCTTACACTCCATAGTTYAGGGRATGACACGTGTTCAGCAGAGAACCAACCTTTTTTTTTTGGTGTGTGAACCGGGGCGACTTTACCATGGAGCTACATCCCCAGGTTTTTCGCTGTTGATGTTATTTTTTATTTCGAGACAGGATCTCACTAAGTTGTTGAGGCTGTCCTTGAACTTGCAATCCTCCTGCCTCAGCCTCCACCGTTGCCGCTGCACCCAGTACAGACGCAATTTAAAAAGAAAGATGTTTTCAATCCACAGTTGGTTGAAYCCGCGCTGTAGAAGCCACAGAATCGGAGGGRAGCTCGGTGTGTCCTTCTCCACCTACCAACCTACGTCTGGTAGCATTTAATTTATAAACCAGGCCCAGGAACAGACGAACAACCACAGCGGATAATAAAAGAGAGAGGTTGTAATAGCATATTGCAGCAAGATATATATCATATGTTTATTTCTGGAACTTTCCATCTATTATTCTGGGTGACGACAACCTCAGAAAGCAGTGCTGCAGATGAGGGGGAGGGTGATCCACACTTGGCCCCTCGACCTTGGCAAAGCACCTCCACCTCCACCATCTCTTTGGAGCCCGAGGATCACGTGGTCCCTACTTAATGCACAACGCCACCGAGAACCAGAGTCGGGCCCGGGGCTGAGCGTGGCGGGGCTGGTCACCGGGGAGCGCGCCGCGGCTCCCGTCCGCAGCCTTCACACCTGCGCTGCCAAAATGCATTTGATATTCCCCCCCATAAACCTGGCTTTTTAACATTCGTCTGAAGTCAGCTTCTCGCTGCCTGTGACCGTCCTGATTTTCCCACTTATTTTCTGACTTTTTTTTTTTATTTTTTAAGCCACCGGGATCTGATTCCACTGTCAAGTTCACGGTTCTTTTCTAGGAGCCGGGCGGTGCTTGGGTTTCATCCTTCAGAGAGTCCCGTGTCTGAAGACCCCGCAGCTCTGACTCGAGGGCATGGCTACCTACCATCATCCRCCCTGCAGCTGGGGTCAGTCCCAGGGGCAGATTTTCCTGTTTATAGGATGGGGACAGTTGGGTGGAGCGCAGGGACCCGTGACAGGGTTCCAGGACCCCAGAGTCGCTGCAGCCTGTGCTCAGCCACTTTCTGGGGTCGGCCCTGAGCCTCACAGTAGGGAGGTCCTGGCTCCCTCCCGTGGGGTCTGGATGTGCGTGAACCACGCAGCYGGTGCTCAGCCCACGACACAGAACTCTGGGGTTTCTCGTTCCCTTTTTCTTTGCAACTGTCTGCTACGAGGACCACTTTCTTTTTTCTTTTGTAGCTGTAGAGGCACAGAATGCCTTTATTTTATTTGTYTATTTTTATGTGGCCCYGAGGAYGGAACCCAGGGCCTCGCATGCCAGGCGAGCGCTCTGCCACTGAGCCCCAGCCCCAGCCCCRACGATGGCTTTATTGAAGCAGAAGCAGCTGTTGCGTCTCTAGGGTSGTCTTTGATAGCCCAGTGCCCCCTCCTCTGCTCCCGAAGGAAAGCACCCGTGTGTCTGTCTGTCTGGCTGCGAATCTGCTCTCTAACCGCTGCAGCRAGCCGTGAAGGGCTCTTCCCCACGCCAGTGTCCAGGCGCAGAGCCCCCAAGCCTGCCCTGACTCTGCTCCAGCAGAGGGCGGGTGGAAACCCAGGGTGGCTGGGACTGGGTGACACCGGGCTTCTGCTCCCACCTCTGTCCTCACCCTGCGGCCTGGGAAACGGGTCACCCTCTCCAGGCCTTGAAGGACAATAACGCACTCTTCCCAGCGCCCAATAATGATGGACGCTCAAACCACGATCGCCCCCACCATAGCGGGGATACACGCCAAACCCTCCGAAATCACCAGCTCCGGGCTGGGGACGCAGCTCCGTGGGTAGAGGGCTTGCCTGACATGCACAAGRCCTTGGGTTCAATCCCAGGCACCACAAAAAAGAGAAAAGAAAAAATCAGTTTCTCTGGACCAGAGAAGCCACTGTTTTTCAAAATGCATTCATTTATTCACTCATTCATTCACTCATTCATTCATTCATTCATTCATTCACTCATTCATTCATTCATTCACTCATTTATTCACTCATTCATTCATTCATTCACTCATTCATTCACTCACTCATTCATTCACTCATTCATTCATTCACTCATTCATTCATTCACTCATTCATTCATTCACTCATTCATTCATTCACTCATTCATTCACTCATTCATTCAGCAACGTGGCAAGAGCCATCGGAGGCTGGAAGGCAGGGAAGGGTCTATCTCCCAAGCCTTGACTGGGTGACAGTGGGTGGCATGACAGGGGGTAGGTGTCTCGTTGGAGGGGTACTTGGATGGTGCTGTGTTTGGATGGSTAGGTGGTTGGATCAGACRGATGGGTGGGTGGGTGGATGATGGATGGACAGATCGATGAATGGGTGGACAGAAGAATAAATGGGTGGGTAGATGCATGGGTAGGTGGATGGATGGATGAATGTTTGGATGGACAGACGGATGAACGGGTAGATGGAGGGTAGATAGATGCATGGGCGGTGGATGGAAGGACAGACGGGTGGATAGCTGAAAATGTAGCTTCAGTGGTCACCTCACCTCGACAGCCTCCCATCAAATAGAAAAAGTCCCCTCCGGTACCGGTGACAGTCCTTGGATGCATGCCTGCTCCCTGCAGTAACTAACTCAGGAGGCGTTTCAGGACCAAGCATCGCGGTCAGGACCCTTCCTTCCRTGCCCTGGGTTGGACCACGTCCTGTGTCAGTGGTTCGGGGAGTGGCCTTTGGAGTGAGACCTGGATTTGAATCTCGGCTTAACGAACTGAAGCAGGGCAACCTGCAGCAAACCCTTGGCCTCTCTCCGCTGTGGTTTCCTCACTTGAGAAAAGGGGTTAACGGCACCACCGTGCAAGGTCACCGTGCAAGGTCACCGTGAGGACATGGTGCTGGGGGCAGGTCAATGCTCGATGAAAGGTGCTGGGGTTTTACTGAGCCAGAATGTGCTCCGTACCTTCTGTTTTTGGACAAGAACCAGCTGTGTTCGAGTGTTGCATAGTTAATGGTCAACAGGTCTGAGATAGTCCCCAGTCTCTCAGAGATTTTGCTCCAGTGCTGTGTTCAGACAAAGAAGCAGATAAGCACCTTCAGATGGTGCTAAGGGCTGGGAGGAAAATGGAAGCAGGAGAGGAGAACAGCGTAAGGGACGGAGGCGGGAGTCCTCTTGGYGGGCTGTAAGCCAAAGTCAGGAAGGTGCAGCCAGGCAGAGATCTGGGGACAGGGACTTCTAGGCAGCAAGAAGGGCTGTGAAAAGGTCCTGAGGCAGAATGAGCTTGCCCAAGGAAAGGCGGGTAGACGAGGTGGCAAGGTGGGAAGTGGGACTGGTCAGGGCAGAGAGGTCYGAGGAGGGACGTCAGCCAGGCCTCCCGGGCAGCCGGACCTGGACGTTATCCACGTTAATGTCATCCTGTGGTCGGGAACATGGAAGGACCCGTGTTCATTTAGTGGTCATTCAGTTTTCTGTCGGCAGCTGACGGGCTCTGGAGTTCTTGACCTTGGTCGGGCTCCAGGGTCCATGTTCTTTGCATTCCTTGTTGGTCTTCTGGGACAACCCGTGTCGGTTTTCTTCCGGCAAGTTCTCTCCATGTCGGGACAGAAAGGCTCTTGGGATCTTGCAGTTTGGTGGGCCACAGAGAGCCACCCTCCCCGATCTCACAGTTCCAGCCTGAGTGTGGCGGGCTCTGGTTGAGCGCTGTCCTGGTTGGCCCTCGTGTCCCCCTGAACCGGGCTCTGGCCTGGGGGAAGCCGCGTTGTGATGGGCTGGTCCTGCCTGGTGTTTGGTGGCTCCTCTGCATCCACCTGGACCGCGCGTGGCGGGGAGGGGGCCGTGCCTCCAGCAGCTCCAGGTGACCGCGCTTCAGGATGCGAGATGAACGCGGCCGTCATCGCGCTCCAGGTGAACAGGATGGTACTGTGCGCTTCGAGGGGGTGCAGAGGGTCCGTCTCAGGTTATCTGTTCCCACCACAATTTGAAGGGCACCAGGAAACATACCAGGTGCTGTGAGGAGAAGAAAGGACAATGGATTCCAGCCAGAGAAAACCGGCTCCCGTGTTGGGGTTCCTAACCCAGAGGGAACGCAGCTCCCCCTGGGTTCAAAGCTCCCTCCCCGAGCTCGACTCCCCTGCCTCATGTCACGGCTCACGGTGTCCCCATCTCCATCCGTCTTTTTCAGGCTGCTTGGGAGTGGAAAGTGGGTCGTCAGCACCGGGCTCTCCTACCCCACTGGGGCCTGGACCTGCTTGGCMGAGTTGAATCAAGTCCCAGGGTCCAAAGTGAATGTGCCCTGGGAAGAGTCCCCAGAAAGGAACAAAGAAAAAGAATCAGGGAAGCTCCCTGCTCCCCCGTGGAGGCTGAGCCTCACCTCACCTGTGGTCTCGGGTTTTCCCCAGGCAAAGCCACCAAGAACGTTCAGTGGGACGAAGACTCCGTGGAGTACCTGCCAGCCAACCCCGTCAGGATCGCCTTCGTCCTGGTGGTCCACGGCCGAGCCTCCCGGCAGCTGCAGCGCATGTTCAAGGCCATCTACCACAAGGACCACTTCTACTACATCCACGTGGATAAGGTGAGGAGCCGCTTCCCCTTTCCACCGTGCTGGGCTTCCTCTGCARTCTGTCTGTCCCTCTCTGATCGCTCCTCTCACAAGTCCTGGTTAAGGCGCAGAGGCTGACCAGCCTGTGGTTTCAGAGTTACCAGCTAAGGCTTTTGACTTTCTCCATAAACATTATTTTTCTATCTTTCTTTTTGTTTATTTTTATTTTGGCAGTGGGTACCAGGAATTGAACTCAGGGGCTCTTAACCACTGAGCCCCATCCCCAGCCCTATTTTGTAGTTTTACTTAGAGACAGGGTCTCACTGAGTTGCTTAGGACCTCCCTAAGTTGCTGAGGCTGGCTTTGAACTCGTGATCCTCCTGCCTCAGCCTCCCGAGCTGCTGAAATGACAGACGTGCGCCCCCACACCCAGCTGTTTTTTACTCTTGATTGACACATGATGATTACACAGATTGATGGGGTGTCGTATGACATGTCAACGTATGCATACGTGCTGTACCCAGCCTGTTCCGAGTAATGAACATATCTGTGGCCTGAAATGCCTGTCATTTCTCTGGGGGTGGTGACATCATTCAGGGTCTTCTATGTTTCTTGATAGTTTTTCGTTGTCAGTGRACCTTTATTTTATTTATTTATATGTGATGCTGAGAATTGAACCCAGGGCCTCACACATGCTAGACAGGGGCTCTACCCCTGAGCCCCAGCCCCAGCCCCATCTCTTCTACTATTTTTTTTGAAATGGATGCTGGATTGCCTCCTCCTCCAGTTCAGCTCTGTGGTCCTCCTACCTCTTCTCCTGCCCAGCGCCTCCCCCTGCCTCGCAGACCTGGTAGCCAGAGTGGGCTCACCTTTTCTAGAAAAGTCCGGGTCATGAATAATTCCGGCTTTGTGACCCACACGCTCTGTGCCTCAGCCGCCGGGCTCTGCCCTGGTGGCGGGAAAGCAGCCACAGAAAACATGTGGACAAATGGGCGTGGCCATGTGCCGATAAAGCTTTATTGACAAAGCCGGTGGGCCACGTGCTCACTGGGAGCTCTCTCTCCTGCCCCGGGAGTTTCCGTTGGCGGCAGATGAGGCCAGATGGCAAAGGGGCGGTTTCAGGGCCAAGATCTGCTCCTAGCAGAGCAGGGAGAGGGTGACGGAGGGCCACCGTGGGCAGGACGGGTGCAGACTCCGTGCGAGTCACATGGAAGAGCCCCAGACCCTGCCAGCCCAGGGCTCGAGGCCAAATTTCCAGTGAATAGAAGGGCAGAGAGGTGCAGGGAGACCCCCGGCCGGGGTCGGTGGCTTGGCCGAGTCTCCTGCGTCCATTCACCAGGGGCCGGCCGGGAGGGAGGAGCAGAGCGGGCCTGGGCGGGGGTGCCCAGCCTGCCTGGCATCGGTCCTTCCTGGGCTGCTGAATGTCCCCTTTCTCTCCTGGGCCAAGCGCTCTAACTACCTGCACCGGCAAGTGCTGCAGTTCGCCGGGCAGTACGGCAACGTCCGCGTCACCCCCTGGAGGATGGCCACCATCTGGGGCGGAGCCAGCCTCCTGGCCACCTACCTGCAGAGCATGCGGGACCTGCTGGAGATGACCGACTGGCCCTGGGACTTCTTCATCAACCTCAGCGCGGCCGACTACCCCATCAGGTAAGGTGGCCGGTGGCCCCGGGGCCGGCCTGGTCTGKTGTCCTGCTTCCTCTTTCTCCCCGTCTCCCCGGGACACTGGGAAGCACGGGCAGTCTGCTTCCTGTCCAGGGAGACACGCCATGGGCCTCCCGCGCTCTCCCTGAGGTCCCCACCCTGGTGCAGGCTGGACCTGAGGGCCCTGGGCACTTCTTCCCTCACTGGGACCAGAGAGAAGTTCTGAGCACACGGTCCTCCCAGCTCTGTCCCAGGCTGTCCCTGTGCTCCAAAGACACAGAGACCCCTGCCCGCRGGGGGCTTCCATTCCAGCCAAGACCAACCAGAGAAGTCGACCRTAGGTAGGATGACCCCACGCTGAGGTCCAGTTTGTTGGAAAGATGAAGCAGAGAACAGAGGCAGGGCGGGCGGGATTGCCATGGAGCAGCCAGGCTTGTCCCCAGATGAGAAGGAGTGAGTCCCRCCAAGGGGGAGAGTGGCCCAGGTGACGGGCGGGGAGGGCTGAGCCCTGGGGGGGGACCGTGCCTGGGGTGTGCCCGGGACAGCAGGGCTGAGGGGCCATAACACAGCGAGCGAGGGCCAGGGTGACAGGAGACACGCGGTCAGAGACACTGGGGCTCGGTCATGGAGGGTCTGGAAATCGTGGTCAGTCCAAGCAAGATGGACGCCACCGTGAGCTTGGGGCAGAGGAAGGACAAGGTCAGACTTTGTGTTGAGCTCCAAGTGGGGGGGAGAAGGCGTCGGCTGCGGGGTCCCTGCAGCATCACAGATGGTGGGTGTCCTCGGGCTGCRTGAGGCCCACGGGTGGGTCCGTGGGGCCCCCACCGAATTTTCACAGATGAGCTGACGGCCCCCACTGGCAGGCCCACCTGAAAGGACAGGTTCTGGCATCTCTGGAAGCGCTGTGCCCGCCACCCTCGGCTGACACAGTTACCTGGAGCTGGAGGTGCAGCCAGCAGCCCCAAGGTGCCGGCAGGAGGGCTGTCCCTTTGTGCATGTGGTGTTTGAAGGACATCATCAGCCAAGAAAACCTCCCTAGAGATCACCCGCAAGAAAACAGAGAAGCAAGACAATGAGCTGCACTTGCAATCAAGAAGGCGGCTCCCAGGCAGGSGCCGTGGGACACCTGTCAGCCCAGCGGCTCAGGAGGCTGAGGCAGGAGGATCACGGGTTCAGAGCCAGCCTCAGCCAAAGCGAGGCCCTGAGCAACTCAGTGAGACCCTGTCTCTAAATAAAATACACAMTAGGGCTGGGGATGGGGCTCMGTGGTGGGTGYCCCTGAGTTCGGTCTCCTGTACCCCCCTCCGCCCCCCCCMCACACACACAAAGAAGAAAGCAGCTCTTTTCCTTGCGTGTTCTTGTTGACCAGGGCGCACAGGAAATGGATTGGGGGTGAGGGGGGCCTCCCTGCAACCCATGGCAACAGGGCACAGGATTCTGCCTTCCCTGGAGAATTGGGCAAAGGTGTCTAAAGAGAAACTTCATCAGGACAATTTTCAAACACACAAGAGTGAGCAGCACCCCGTGAGCCTCACCCAGTTTCAGTGACCATCAGTCATGGCCAGCCGCTGGCCCAGGACTCTCGCCCCCTCTCCCAGGCCCAGGTTGCTGTTGAGTGAATCCGAGGCATCGTCCAGCGGCGTCTGTGAATATTTCACACACGCGTCACAGACAGGACTGTCTTTGAACACCACGTCAATAGGTCACTCCCGCCTGAAATGGGGGAGTCAGGATCCAGACGAGGAACAGGTATGAAGAAGACCTCGCTGCAGAGGTCACAGCGTGGTCCTCGGCTCCCTTCTCCGTACCTGGGCTCAGGGGCATCCATCACCTGCTGGGAGACTCCAGATGAGTGAGAGGGACGCACAATCTCTGGTCATTTTGGACAAGACACACCTGTTTCCTTTTGTTCATAGACTRATAGAGATAAAGGGAACAGGTTTAAATGTATTGCTGACCCATGTCTACCTACCACGAATTTTCATTTATTCAACATTTATTGAGCAACTACTTCGCCAAGCACCGTTTGGGAATTTAGTGAACAGAAACAGCTTCTACTTCTCCTCGGCCTCGTGGAGTCCTAGTTGGGAAGGTGGAATCATGAGAGAGACACCAGCAGGATGAACTAGGGCCCTAGAGAAGAAGAGGCCTGAGTAGAGAAAAGCTGGAGGAACATAAGCAGGAGACCAGAAAGACGTGGCCATGTTCAGCTTGAGCTGAGACCTGCAGAGGAACAGAGGCTGATTGACAGGGAAACAACAGAGATCATTCTASACCAGGATTCCCCAGCCATGGCACTTCGGTTGTTCACTGATGGATAATTCTCTGTYGTGGGGCAGTCCTGTGCATTGTGGGRTGTTTGGCAACATCTCTGGTCTCTGCCCACTAGATGCCAAGAACACACCCTGCCCACTTGTGCAAACCACACATCTCGTGACATTGCTGAGTGTCCCCTGGGGCCCAAGTCGCCTCCAGCTGAGAGCCACCACTTCTGATGGAGTGATAGCCTGGGTGTGATGGGGGTCAGAGATGAGCTTGCTGCATTTGAGAAATTCAAAACACGGGTGGAGCCTCAGACGTTAAAAGTGAGGAGTCGGGTAGAGCGCACAGAGTGGAGGTTAGAACGTTCCTCTCCATCTTCTAGGAAAGGACTGAGTTCAGAAATGCCCCCCAAATGCTTCACACAGCCCCTAGTGTGACCGGTCCTTCCTTCAGCCCTCACAGCAAACYCGTCCTACAGATGGACAGACGGAGACCCAAGGTCATGGGGTGAGCTCATGGCACAGCAGGGATTAGAACCAGTTCTGTCTACGGCCACCTCGGCACGCTTTCTGCTTGAAGTCAATCTCTTGGCAAAGTCAGCAGCCTCAGACTGGCTGGCTGGTCCCCAGCTGCATAGCAGACAGAAGGGACAGTCCAGGCCTTTGAGTTCATGGCTGGACAGGACAGTGGACACACTGCAGCAGCGGATGTCAAGGCAAGGTGGTGCACGGTGACTGTTGTCTCTGAGGATGAGGAGCCAGGGTCAAGGTTCCCACACTCCTCCTTCTCCAGACTTTCACTGGAAGCCTCAGAGGCCATGGCAGCCTGGGACCCGGGGCCTCATTCTGCCTGAGACCTGTGGAGGCCCCGTAGGTGGCGTGCGCACTGCTGCCCCCTAGAGGCGCTGTGTATAGGTAGGTGTGCGCACTGCTGCCCCCTAGAGGCGCTGTGTATAGGTWGGYGTGCGCACTGCTGCCCCCTAGAGGCGCTGTGTATAGGTAGGTGTGCGCACTGCTGCCCCCTAGAGGCGCTGTGTATAGGTAGGTGTGCGCACTGCTGCCCCCTAGGGGYGCTGGGTTGTGTTGCTTGGAAGTCGAGCCGGTAACCGAGGCCGCTTCAACTCAAGGGGAGCCCAGCTCTGCTCAGCGTCCACGACAAAGAGTGCCCAGACCCCACCCCAGACCGCTCTGCAGCTTGCACTGTGACCATGAGCAAGAGAACCCCATCGAGGTACCACCACGAAACACAGAGTGTCTGACCCTTGGAAGGTGCTCAGTACATGCCAACTGTTTACATCTAAGCTCCATCCAAAGTGGTGTCTCAGATCAGTGGATGAGATACCAGAAACCCTTGCCCAGACCATAGGTCCACCCTGCCTCGGGTCCACAGGGGACATTCCCCATGTTTACAACTTCTTTAGCTGGGCCTCGGTGGTCTGGCTGGCCCTGGCTGGCCCTCTCCCTGACCTCGCTGCCGTGGTGCCCACTGCCCATTCCACTCTCTTGCCATTCCGCCCGCCAGCCTCAGGGCCAGAGGCGCCTCCTGCACGCGGTGTTGCTGGTGCCTCTGGCCGCTGTTTTCGGGGAGCCGCCTGCACCAAAACATATGAAGTTTGCAGATGAATGACTTTATCCTGGGCCACTCGGCTAGGTTTCCAGCCCCATCTGCCGCTCCATCTGTGGCTTCCCATCCACTCCTTCCCCCATCCCAGGAGGGATGAGCAAAYTTGGGCACCTTCGGGAAGGGGTGGGTGTGCCCAGGTCAGACCCCGAGGAGCTGGGGAGGGGGTCTCCAAGGGCAGAAGCAGCGAGGTGTCCACCCTGAGCGGCTCTGTGCTTGGACACCACCTTCCAGTGTCCCCCGCCCGGCCCTAACGGAGCGTCCAGCCTCTCCCTCTCGGGTGGTAGAGACCTGCGGGTCTACTGGTCCCTAGTCTCGGGTGGGCCCTGGACACAGAGAGCCTCGCTTCAGTCCCCTCTCCCACTGCCATGTGACCTGACAGAGGTGGCTGCCGTTTCCTGCATCTCAGTTTCTCCACCTTCGATGCCGATCTCAAAAGACCGTCTGGAGGGTAAATGGACTATGGCCCGTCCTGCRTCCCTGGTGGCCGGATGTGCAGCAAGTGCTGGGTGAACGCTGGCCGGTCCTCTGGCAGTGGGCCGTGGGGGCCCCAAGGTGGGACCTCGTCATCCTGGATATCAGTGGCTCCCCCTCTTCCCTCCACAGAGTTTAAACAGGCCAAACGGCTCTTGAACCCACCTCCCGCTCCACGGTGGGAAAGGAGAGTTAGGCAGCGAGGACGGAAGGCCCCGGGGCCTCTGTGGTCAGGGAGGGTTATCCCGTATCTGGAAGGTTCTCGGGAAGCATGTTGGAAGACCCCCCGGCCTCGCCGCCCTGCTGTGGACGCTTCCCGGCCCAGGGAGGCTCTGACTGGAGCTGGTCACAGACGGGAGTTTCCAAACTCGAGGTCCTGGCTCCAGCGCCTGATGATCTGTTCAGTGTGTTCTGCTCTCAAAGGCRCCCACAGGAGGGAATGAGGCCAGATGCACTTGGCCCTGTTGGTTGGTCTGGACCCGCGCAGAGCGTCATTAGCTCAGCCCCATGACRTCATGGGCAGAGTCGGGTGACCGGGTGCGCACAGGGTGGTGACTTCCCTCAACTGACTGATCGCCTGCTCGGGACCGAATATACCATTGCAAAGGAGGCGGGTGCTCCGAAGGGGGGAAGGGAGCCCTGAGCCCTGG